AAAAATCAAATTTTAATAATCCAGTCTACCGTCCGCAATAGCCTAGAGGAACAGCTTATATCAGCAGATGCTCAACAAGACATTACGAATGTGTAATTTTGTCTATTTTTCGAATGACGGGTCTGCATCAAACAATAAATATTCAAACGATAACGTGATTTGTATTAAAAATGTATTATTACCTAATTACAGTTTTGATACAAATTTCTTAGCAGACAGTCAATATAACCTAAGCTTCTCATTACTTGATGATGAAGATGACAATATGCAGTCTGTAATAGAATAGCCAAATAATGATAAATCGCTTTTAAAGTCGTTGAACTGAGTGCTAAATAAGTCGTTATTTAGCGCACACCAGATGATTTTTCTTCCGATGAAGCCCGACTTTTCAGCCTTACCATCAATGCAATACTGGAAGTTCTTCTATAGATCTAGAACACAGGATATTCGCAAAAAAATCGACATTTCACCCCAGCCTGGGTCTTCTAGTATTAAGTCGCAATAGTTTACTTAAAGTACCCCAAAAAAAGAAAGAAGGTGTACTGAAACTTAAAGAGAGGAATATAATTGCAAAATATAATAGAGGAATATAATTCTTCACTTCAGGGTGTTTTGCACGAGTTATTTACTTATTTTTTTTAAAGATTATTACTTGCGTTAATAATTAACTTAGATGGATCTCATTCAATAAAGAAAAAATTTTTTTAAAAACCTTTAATTTTGATATGGTTATATAATATGGACATTTTTTTTATTAAAAGACTGTTATTTTAGCTTCAGTAATACGATTTTAAAGAACTTTCTTTCAAAAGAATATAAAATTTGTGTTTTTTTTAAGACAGATAACATTTTGTTTATAACCTGATCGATATAATGTGTTATTCAGATTACAATTGAGAAAGTTATTATTTTTACTTTTAATAAAAATAAAAATAAAGTATTATTTGTTTAAAAAGTGTATTAAATTTTGTTTTTTTTTTTAAGATTTCTGGTCAGATTTTTAATGCAAAAGGGCCTCTTGTGCAAATTTCCCACTATGTATCATAGTTAATATAAATTGTTTAATACTCATAAATGTGGTATAAAAATACGATTCTAATGATGTATAACATTTATATATTATCGCAAAATAGAATACAAAAATTCCCAAAAATCGTTTTTAAAATTTTGTTTTGGCCGTCCTGTAAAAACTCATTTTTTGAATTGTGGCCCTTTTGCATTGAAGGAGCGAGGTATCTATGTTGAACACGATGTGTATTTGAATTATAATATAATTACTTATGTACCAAAAGGCTGGCAGCTACCTAGGTCAACGGATTAGCCTTGCTATCCAACGTGGAAATGGCCTATTGGGCACCATTTCTGACAGCGGCGCTGGGAGTGATATAAGTTTTATTTTGTAAATTGTATACCTACTTAGTTATTTCTTGCTTTTAAGTTTTTAGATATTAAGTAGTTTTAAATATTTCTATGTAAATATAAATAAATTTATTCGTTATATACCTGCTATTATTTTTTTCACATAGCCCGACCTTTCACATTGCATGCCGGTGGTCTCTTCTGCCTCTCCCACACAAAATTCTGCGTCCGATTCTGGTGGAATTAGTTTTAGCGACTTTTGATGTTGCGTCTAGCGACTCGAACTTCTAGGAGTTGGCAACACTGGATTACGAATGTTTAGGTTTGGGATGGGTGACCGCGTATATTATTATGTGCAGGGTGTTTACGATTGGTGTCCGCGATTATAAATGTGCAGTGTTTACAAATAGCCAAGAATGGGATGTGTGACCACGATTATGAATGTGCAGGAGTCTTTACGATTGGTCGTGTACTTACTTGTGTTTGGAATGGATGACCGCGATTATAAATTTGCAGGGTCGTTACGGTTGATCCGGCTTAGAATGGGTGACCGCAATTATGAATGTGCAGGCCCAGGGTGTGAACGAATGATCAAGAATGCGGTAGGAGACCAAGATTATATCAATCCTCAACAAATTTTGAAATCATTGTGCTCCGTCACATGATGAATCTTTTGCAAATGCTCATGGGCAAATTGCTCTCTTGTCGTTCAGGAGCTTGATGGCGCAGGTAGTTAGCGCGTACGACCTACAATTGTGGAAGTTAAGCAACTTTGTCATTGGATAGGTGACCAAAAACTTATCTCGTGCTTTACAAAAACTGATGTTGACACTTTTGTTTGCTAAAAAGAACACATTTTTAAACAGTCCGCGTTTTTAAGTTTATCCCTCTATTCAAATATAAAGGTTCCGATTCTTCGAATTGGTGTTGATTCTCTTTAACATGTCTCTTCTTTTCATATATAGAGAATGATAAATATACAATGATGGCAGGGTTCAGGCTTCTGCAGGGTAAACTTAAAAGTAATAAATGTATAAAATTGTCAACAGTATATCTGTGTCATTTTCTATACTGAATCAAAATAAGAGCCTGATGTTAAATTTAGAAAATCATGTTGGAATTAGGGACACGAAAAAAGTATCGATACTTTGTGGTATCGAGTACTTTTCCTTTCGATACCGATACTTTTGTACTCGATACTTTGTGTTCGATACTTTTACTAAATGAGTACTTTTTGGCAAGAATCGATACCTTTAAAAATTTGGAAAAACGCCTCATATTGATGGCAACACCATCTTGTTAAATCATAGCAAACCTTCTAAAACGTCCCTTAAGGGTATTCGACAAGTTTTAGGGTGCGGCCAGAGTGCACTCAGATTCAGATTCCGAAAACAAGCGCGAGAAATAAACAGTGTAGTCGAAGGGTACGGCCAGAGTGCACTCCTGATTCAGATTCAGATTCAGACTCAGAAAACAAAGCGCGAGAAAAAGCAGGCAACCTGCTTAGACTACACTGTTTATTTCTCGCGCTTGTTTTCAGAATCTGAATCTGAGTGCACTCTGGCCGCACCCTTAGGCAACACGTTATTAACTAATGTTTATGGAGTCCGTAAAAAGTGGATATTCATCATTCTGTCGTGTATTTCAGTAAAAATAACCAAATCAAAAACTCCATTTTCAAGTTGCCGCGAAAACGTTTCTCTGGACAATATGGCGTCTTACTAGTGAGTGACGTCACACGACTGTTATCAAAACGTCAAACGATACAATGTAATGTCACTTTGACCGGAAGTTTACTTGCGTGTGACGTCATATTAGGCTCTGCCAATCCCAAGCGTTTTGGGTTACTTGACAATAGTAAGAAAACTAATATGTTTTTCGTTATTTTGGCACTTTAATTTTAATACTGTCAAATGCCCTATTGCGTTGTTATAAAGTCAGTAACTGACATATTCAAATTCTTTCCAATCTATGACTGTGTTTATTTTGCGCTTTGTTTTGTTTCATAGTTATTTATTTAGCGACCATATTGTTAGGAACTGTGATTGATTCACCGTTTATTGTGCTTTTCGCTTGACTGTATTTGATTTATTCAAGTGTAACACAATTATTCTGTCTGTGCTCTGTATACCTATTTGAAACCACCTGAAAAAAAGACGGACGTAACCTCTTCTATAATTATAATTTTGAGTGAAGCATGCCAATGGCAGCCGTTAACTGCGTGTCAGATTCAAGTTAACATAAGTGGGTATAATGTTTTTTAATGACTAAAATTCAAGAAAAGTAAGTTTAATTTGAAACAAATCTGAAAGATTCATACTTTTAAATTGTCTAAGATTTCAATCTTTTTAATTATCATTTTAATTATGAATGTAATATTAATGAACACTTTTTTAGTGTCAGAAATCACAGCTATTTTCTTTTCATTATATAATATAGCAATTTGTGAATTTACATGTCCTTTTTTTGTTTTTGATTATACGTACTATAGTAAAATTCGATTGTTTTTCTTTCAATTTTAACACCAGGGGGGGGGGGGGGTTGCTCATCAGGCCACAGAGGCTCCGATAAGGCCCTATGAAATGTACTCGATACTTTGAAGTATCGATACTTTTACGAGTACGTTACTTTTTTACCGATACTATTCATGAGTACAGTATCGATACTTTCTATTCGATATCGTGTCCCTAGTTGGAATTGACACCATTGGTGCCAATTCTGGCGTGATTCTCTAAACTTAAAACAGCATTTAACATCAGTCTCTCCTTTTCATTCTGTATAGAGAATGACAAGGATATACTGCTGTCAAATTTAAGTTTAGGTTTACTAAATCATGCTAGAATCGACACCATTGTTGTCATTTACAAATACGTGCCAGAATCGACACCATTATTGTCGTAGTACTGCAGAGTTCGGAATAGCAGTCTAAGTGGACCCTAATGTTTCAGCCGCTATAGGGTGTATTCCGAAATACACATCAGTATACTGGCCAGTGGTAATGACATCACGAATCCGACGCCATATTGTACTGGTGCGCTACCATATTTTTACCGGGAAAATGAATGACGTATGGACCGAGCGTGCGTGAGATACATTCGAATTTTATTTAAAGAACAATAATGGCATCCGAACAAAAAGAATTCCTTTTAATTGATGAGGTGAATAAAAAATCTTTATTCGCACTATTTTTAATATTTTGTCGATTTATGACGTCAGTGCACTGGCCCGTATATTTCGGAACAATTCATCAGTATAGCGTCGATTCATGACGTCATTAGCACTGGCCAGTATACTGGTTTATATTACGGAATACACACATTGATTTGCTGTGCCGCGATCACGTGACCTTAGGTGGCCATTTTATGCATCTTCGTAAAAATCCGTAGTTTTGACATATGTCAATTTTCATTTCATGTTTATGAACTTACTACTTTTTACAGAATTACCTACCTACTTAAATTTCGCTATTTTTCTACACAAGTCAATGTGTAGTTTATGGACAGAGGTCAGGATGTGCAGGACGCTTATGCTCTTGTGGCGTGGCCGACAAAATAAACAATGGAATGAACAGTGTGCTTTAGGACACCAATAAATAGGAACAGAAAAAACAATAAAAATTATATGAAATTACTTTATTGAACATGTAAAATCCGTATTGACATGAGGAATGCTAATTCTCATTTACAAACAACACAAATGTAAAATTTGAGAGACAAATCACATTGAAAACCTACCTATTAACTAACTAAAATACAACATACACATCAATTTCCTAAATTACTTAAATTGCCTAGCACAAGACATTTTTAGTGCTTAGCTAAGTTTGGTACAATTGTCGGCAATGCAATTTACAGTGAGAAGAGGTAGGTTTAACTAACATTAGTAATTTAATGAATAGTCTCTAATTTTACATATTGGTATAGTTTGACCAAAACTGTTATGTCACGTGAAATCACACAACATTGATAGGTACAGTTAATAATGGCATATTAAAATCAAAGCACAGCTTTAACTTAATACAGAGCAAAATTGGGAGCTGAAGACATACAAGTTTTGATAAAACCAAATCGTACATCTCAAATGTGAGCATCCAGTAGTCACAGCGAACTTAACGAGGGAGGGCTAACTGTACAATTCCCTGGTGTATACATGCTAACACTTAAACATTATTTTTTTTTGAGGCTTAGAAACCTAGAACCTAGCCTGTGGTGAAACTTTCCAAACTCTGCAGTCAACTTACAACTATTACAATTAATACTACATTAGCGAAGTATTACATTAACACTGAAAAAATTCAACAAGTTCATAGACCAAATAATTGTTACAATAAATTGGATCCAATCAAGTTAAAAAAAATCACAAAATCAAAATGTATAATATCAGAATATAAAAAAGGTGAACTGCAGTTACAGACTTTGGAAAGTCAGTCCATTTTTACTTTGTAATAAATTAAGTCCAAGTAAATTATTCAATATGAACAGAATTGTTTTGCTGGTTGGGAGATCATTCGCTTTCTTCCTCCTCCTCCTCATCACCGTCCTCCTCCTCGGACTCATCCTTCTTCTTTTTAGCTTTCTGCAACATACATTTTAATAAGAACATGGGTCTCTTCACAATTTCATAATTTTTTTCAAGCAAAAGTGGGGGGAAATACTTACAGCAGGTGCAGACGCTTTCTTGCCCTTCTTTCCTCGCTTTTGAGCCTTCTTGCCACCTCCCTCGCCACCTCCACCATTGGCATTATATGACTCTAGATCTTTTGTGTACTGTTCTTTTGCTTCAGCTGCTTTTTCTTCCCAAACCTAGAATATTAGAAAAATTAGGCACATGGCATCCACTTGGAACATATTCAACAATGAAAAGAATGGTTCTTTTATTACAAAGAGATAAAATATACTTACACTCTTGTCTTTCATTGACCTCCATATTTCACCACCCTTTTTGGCGATTTCAGTTACTTTGAGCCCAGGATTATCAGCCTTTATCTTTTCTCTTGCACTGTTCAGCCACAGCATATATGCTGACATAGGACGCTTAGGCTTGTCCGACATTTTAACTTTTTTCCTGCGAAATTAACAAAATAACACATGAAATTGTTTAATAAATGCTAGGCAACAGGTTATAATAACCATGCTTTGTACTATACAACGCAAGCATACGCTCTCCTCGCATTAGCCACAACTAGGGCGGCGTTTTGGCGGGAAACGCATTTCAGGCTTAGTTACAAGGAAAATATACGTTTTTAACTATTAAGTACGCTTTTCCCGTTTAGATACACTAAAAACAATGTATAGAATATGTAAAAATCGATGAAAATGCTTATCGCCCCATATAACGAGTTCACTGGCCTAAGCTTGGGTTGTACGAGCCATTTTGTTTTCACGTATTGTGTTGAAAATACGCAATAACTAAAGATGACATAATTACCAAATAATCCCGTAATTATTAAACTAAAAGTTGTAGAAGAACTGTTTCAGACCTCCAATGGAAAAGATACGAGAAATAAATTATTTAAAATAAGGCATCCTTCGCCATACCCACGCGTACTAAGGAAAGTACGACGAAGCCTATAGCCATGTTTGAACGCCAATTCCAACGTGGAACGAAAAATAATTTAGAGAATCACGCCTTAAATTAATCGATTATCATTAAAATAATGTTAAACTTTAAGTGGAAAAATGATTAGACTTACCTGATGGCAAAAATTTTGAAATTCTTTTTGAACTGGCACACAACCAAACTGTAGACGTAGAGAACCAGAAGAAATGTATGGAGCTCGAAGCAAAATGTTCCCAGTGCAAGCTAGCTTGGGGTCGTATCGCGTCAGCACTACAGCGCCATCTACGTCGTCGGTGATTGGCCGCTCTCCCCACTACTGCCAACTGCACAAAAATAATGAAGCATCTTGTACTACGTGTATCCGTGACATGTTGTTCACAATCTCGAATAAAAATAAACCTTATGAGTGTATAATACAGTTCATATTACACTACTTTTACCATCTTCATACATTTACTTCCTAAAATTATTTTGCTAAATTTCTTAGAAAATATAGTGTGTTAAGGCTCAAAATCACAGATTTAGACCATGATAGACCCAAAAAAATATTTTATACAATTATCTTCCATACAAACATATTATAAGTATATCAAAAAGTGACCCAGTCCTCTACAAGCTCCCCTTACCAGTTCCGACTAAAATGATCTCGCGCCTTATTTTAAATGCCGCCAACGTTAATTCGAAACGTAAAAAGCGCGGTAAATGTTAGCGTGAAAGGGACGCCAATAAAACATAGCGCTTGAATGCCAGACACACACGTTTGTTTACGATTTGTGTTTGAAGCAACTTGAGAAATAGTTTTTATTTCTTGAGTTATAAGGGTGTGATGTATTTGGTACTTAAGATTATTGCTATAAAATACATTATTGTACAACATAAACAAATGTTTTCTAAGATTTAAATCGTATGTTTAGTAGATAGCGATAGTGAGTATAGTACCAGCTAAAGATTTAAGATCGACGTTCATACTTCATAGCAGTGCTTATCTTTGATATCCTGATTTTTATAAGTTTCAAAATGTAAACATACCCAACAAACAAAAAAAATGATGATTTGGTGTGTAGGATTGATAAAAAAGAGATACCTGTTACTGGTTTTACTTACCCAACTAGCTTAGTAATTTAAATAAATATAAAAAATGTTAGTTTCTGGAAACATGATTATTAATTTTAATCAACGTGGACTGGGAGTTCAAGTCTTAAATAGAATGCACCAGCAGCTTACTTTCCCATGCAAATAGGATAGGTGGGAAAAACCTATCGATACGTAATCTGTGTTGTAAGTAGGACTTAAAGTAGCTAAGCTGCCCTTAGTTATTATTCTGAGACCTAACTTAAGCATTGGGCTGACAAGTAAATTTTTTTCCAGACTAGGTAAGCTTACTCAATGAATTCCAAATAGGTATGGCGTCGGCGTTGTTGTGGACACTCCTTAGCATCTCATCTTATTATCTTGGGCCAACGATATTAAAAACCCTTATAATATAAGTATTAGGCCATTAAATATCGTTATCTAGTGCACTATAATAAGGCTAGCTAGGATCGTCGATTTCTAGGGAGCTAATCTTTTATGCGGCATTCTGCACTCGATTTGTTATATAAAAATTTAGCTTTTGTTGGGTTCCGTACCTAAATAGTAAAAACGGAACCCTTTTGCTGACACTATGTCGTCTGCCTGCCCGTATATCAAGGGTCTCTTAGATCGTTAACGGAATGAGTTACAAAACTGAAAGTTTGGTATTTTATATAGAATGGTCGCCCAAAGTGGAATATTTAGTTAAAAATTCAAATTGAATGTGAAATTTAGATATATGCTGTATTGATGTCCCTCAAGTTGTATTTAAACAACAAATACTGGAAAACGCCGATTTTTAATGTACTCTGCAAGTTGTGACGAAAACAACCAAATTATTTTACGGAACCCTAATAGAGCTTGGCCATTATTTTTATATTTTCTACGGAACAGCTCAGGTACAAATGCTCGTTTTTATAATACAAACATTTGCGTATAACGGGATTTGAACCCAGAACTTCAGAGTAGGCGACACCTCTCCACCAAGGAGATCGTAGACGTTGGTTTACTTGTTACAATCCGCAATAATAGTGTAATAAAAATAGTTTAGGGGTTGAATTTATACTAGGTTCTTATCAAGTGCCCTGATTTGACACAGACGCATCGCGTGAAACGTGGATTACTCGGAAGAATTAAGGAACAGAGGCGGACATGTAGAACATCATTTGTAATTAATATAAATAATTAAATAAACATGTTTTTAATTTCATAAAAAGAACTTCTGTTAATTTTTAAACATTTACTGTCTAAAGTCTTGATAATAATAATAATGTCCTTAATGTATACTGTTCCTGTTACCCTATATATGTAAACATACGTGACTTTTAGGTACAAAAGCTGTAGTTACCTATTCACCATACAAACCAAATCACACTTAAGCCCCACCGAGATTCGAACCCGTCCGGATTTCAAAGGTCCGAAATAGTCCTAATCCTCCGAGTCCTAGAAAACTGGTAGGTATAGTACATACCACTTCACACCATATTTTTTTATCGTTTTTAGAATCTACAAAATGAACTTTAGGAGAAGATGCACGCGAAACAGATTGAACAGAAGAGCTATCCGAAACAAGTTCTTGAAGAATTTCGTGCCGCTGCAATAATATAATCTAGTGGTATTTTAAAATGCGTCAGCCACGCCGGAGTCTACATTTAATCTTCAATTAATCCGTAGGAACCTAAAATATTAAGTACCTAAGTACTTAGTGTACTTACATTCTTCCAAAAAATATCATTAATGCTACTATGTTTTTCTCTTCTCTTCTACTAAAAAGAAAGTGCATAGTTAGCTAAATACATGTGTTGATTATTATGACGAGAAAATTTGCATTATAAATAATTGTATAAAACTACGACTAACGGTTTACATTGAGTGGATTTAATAAATACTTTGTGATAGAACAGCTGCGTGTCTGATGCAATTTTATTTGCACCTTATAATAGGACAAGAAGGGCGTTTATCTATCTTAGAGTTTCTTTAGAATACACCCCATCATACATGATATACATACAGTAAGAAAATGTAACAATAGCATTTCATGGGATATTTATTGTGCGAGTTTCTGTAGGTAGGTACCTACTCAACTTATTATATTTAAAATTCTAGATTTACATAATATAATTTTAGTTATTTGGTAGGAAGGTACAGACAGACACACATCAAGTTACTACATTGTTTTTTTAATTGATTGTAAATCTTATGTCAACTATAAGAAAGCTCGTATTCACTTGGAGAAATGCGTCAGTTTTGGATAACTTAATTAGTGGCTGTCTGTATTTAACTTACCTTCCTAAAGTGAACCGTGCTTGCTGACCACAGACCATTTTTCACCGCCTGCTTCTGCTTTGCTCTTGAAAAATAGGCCAAGTCAGCGTAAGTCCACTCAAATCTATCCATTATTTTATAAAAATAAATAAAATATTACCTAATTCGAAAGGTTAAGCACTGCAAGAACATAACTTTTCCAGGCTTTAATAAGTAGGTACCTATAAAATTCTAGTGTCACAATGTTAGTCACTATACACCTCCGAAACGGCTTGTCCGATTTTAATGAAATTTAATATACATATTTAAGTGCTTGAGTGGAGTTCAAGCACTTCTTGATTGGGACACATTTTGAGCGCTCGTGATGTACCTATCTAGGGAATTTAATATCGTTGATAAAAACGTCTTATTTGAAGCGCGGAATGACACGGACGGAGTTGCGATCACTCGGTTTTGTTCGGTGCGCTCAAGGCGGCGCGGCCGACAGTGGGCTGAAAATCGCGTTTCATAGACATTCAAATTATTTTTTGAACTACCGCCTTTTTTGCTTGGAAGAATTGAGAATGCCTAGTATATGCTTGGTATAATAAACTTTCAAGTTTATAATTGTAAAAAGTGTACTTGAATTGTTTTCGGAAAAAAATGTATGGAGTCGGCGTAAAAAATGATGATATCTCCATTTTCGCCTAATATCCTCTTAAGTTATTAATTTTAGTATTATTTTGGATTTGATAGATACGTACGTCAAAGTTAACTCAGAAGTTAATGAAACATTATAGACAGATATGTCAAACAAGTTTGACGCATAAAAGTATATTGAAAATATTCGTGAAAATAAATGTTTAGCTTATTTATTAAAATATTGTGACTGTTTGCAAAAACACACACAAAACAATCAATCACGCGAGATCTCGAAACTGCTGAGATCTCGCAGTATAGTTATTTATAAACTCGCGGGATCTCGCTTGAGTCCCAATTTCGAGACTTGCATTCCCTAGATACAACCCTAAATTTTCACCCTTCTACCACCAGCCCCTATTTTTATAGCAGTACGAAGTTTGCTGGGTCAACTGTTAATAAGTATCTATAATTCACGCTGTTTGTGTTTGATTTAGGATTGACTATTTAAAACTAATCTTTTCCTGGAATTTTGATACCTGGGAAAGCTTTAACCAGATAGAGGGGAATTGTCACCAGTTTTAGGCGTCTGTTTGAAAGCGTGAAACACTTTCTGTGTTGTTATGTATGTAAGGCTTGATCTTCTTGAACTCCACGTGGTAGGAGAAAAGGAGCCCCAGACTGACAAGGTGTGAAATTTTATGTGCGAGTGCTTTTCATTTGGTAATTTAGTGTAAATTAGATTAGTTAATTATTAAAGGTTTTGATTACCTAACAAGAAAAGAAATCATAAACTCTTAAAATTTGTTAAATACTTATTAACATTAAAGAGTCCACTAATTGTGGTAGTATTTTTATTTCCCCGAACTTATCTATCATTACAGAATTAACAGGTGTGATCGAATAATACGACAATGTAAATTTTATTGTTAATAATATTACGTAATTATAAATAAATTTATTATGTAAGTAAGTATCTCTAAAAAGTACACAACTTATCGCAATCCCTTCGTAACCTACCGCAAGCCAGGCGAGTCCCGCGTTTGTGTGTAATAATACAATAAGCGCCCTCAACAAAAAATGGCGTGGCATTTTGCCTGCGCCTGCGGGGTGCGCGCGTCCCGACCGCCCGGGCGTCCCAGTCCCACAGCTTGTTGGGCTCAACGCTTCCCGGACCTACTTTGTATAGGTGGCGATATTTATAACGTCTCTTTTGGAACAACAGCATTTTTTTGTATGCGTAACTTATACATATTTAGAATGTAACGAATAGAAATAATACTAAGAGAGTAAAGTATTTTTAATTAACAAAAGCTTTTACTTTTGCCATGTTCTGAAATTACGGAATCATTGAACTATTTACTGAATAGCAAATAGCAAGCATAAATTTGTCCAAGTACAAGTCTAAAATTAACCCTAATTGATCTTCAAGCAAGGATGAAAATGGCACGGGCAACAGAATTGAACGCAGAAAGTTACAGTTACGAAATGGGTACAAAAAATGTGTCTTGGTCATTTGGGACCTTTGGGTATTATTACGGGCACTCACTGCATCCTTGGAAATCTTGGAATAGTGAACAAAAGTAAATGTTCTTTTGTTTCGTGGTATTTTTTTAACTTACCTACAGCACCACGTTGCCTATTGTTTATTGAGACTTGGTTTTTATATAATACAAATCTTTCAAGCGGCCCATGCCTATCTGCTTATTTAAAAAAAGAGGAATTATTTGTATTTTTGTACGTTTATAACGAATAAACTCAAAAACTACTGGACTGATTTCAAAAACTCTTACCATTAAAAAGCTATATTATTTTCCAGTGTCGAAGGCTATTTTTTTTATAGCGATCTATCGCGGATCTAGCGGATGGTCTACCAAAACAGGAGTGGAGCGGAGTTTAGCGCCTTTGAGCAAATCTGCAATTTTCATGTAACTTGATAAGTTTATTTTTTTCAAATATAATAAAAACAAAAAATAAGAAAATATGAAAATAAACTAATTTATATTATTTTTGTATGGAATGTATAAATCAGATTACTTAAATAAAATATATATCTAAAGAAAAGTTTACTAGAAAAAAATCCACGCGGACCAGGCAGCGGACGGGACTCGAACCCGCACCCTTCGCAATTATATGTATATTTTAATTTATCTAAGCACGATGATGTCGGAAAGCATTATTTTTGGGCGAGAGTAGAATAGTTTCGCTTATGTAAAAGCTAGTGAGTTGGTATTGTAGTCAGTAATTTAGGTTCGATTTCATCAATTAATATAAGTTTTTTGGTAATAAATATTGGTTAACGTTTGGTGATCTGACAGTAACTAGCGACTTTGTATTTGATCTGACAGATTCCCTATCGATCGCGGGGCCCTGGGCACTTGCCCAAAGTGCCCACTGGGAAAGAGGGGTCTGATGTTACTCATTCTATGCTCCTATGTCTTCCCTTTTTCGATAACTTGTATTTCAAAGAAAAAAAGGCCAGATATTTTTTATTTTATAGTCGTCTAGTGTGGAAATTTAATTAGCAAAAAAGCAAAACATAGACATAGCATAACTACTTATTGATCTTTGTGTAAAAATTATTTTACATTATATTTAATTTTCGTGGAGAAGATCGTCCAGAGCCTAACCTCGAATTTTGCAAATTATTCAACGATAACTACTGTTATCCCTATCGCATGGTATTTATTAGCCAATGCGTGACAACAATACTTTTTTTAAATACCTATTTCTCAAATGTCTCTTAGCTCGCGTCCGCTCTTAATCAGAGGGTAATATGCACTTAAATTGCCACCTTGTATGTACCTGTGTAAAAAACATTGCTGGCATATTTATATTTTGATCTTTATAAAGGTTTCATCGATTCGTCAAAGCAGAAAGTCGCAAGCAATTAAAAAGACTATCTTTATTCGCATGTTATAGCTGCAGTGAGCACTAATGATTTTCCGTCGATTAATCGTTTAGGTAAGAAATGAAAATCGATAATTCACTATAAGTAACTAATTATAATTATAACAATACCTTGCTAGGTTTTCACAAATTAACATTATCCATCTCCGAAAGAGATCTTACAAAGGGCTTAGGAATAATAACACAGATGCAGTACAAAAATGAAATTACAATGAAAACTACAATAAAACACACAATCATAGGGCCAAAAATAATAGATTCTTAGAAAAATATTCAGGAATGCCTCTTATGTTTGTGGATTCTCTTACAATCGCTTATCAAATTATTGTAAGCTTCTTACTATTGAAATCAGTATTTTATTTACAAAATGAATAATTAAAATTGTACAATAACTTCACGATTTTACTAGATGCACAGTCAGTCGGGTTTACATAAATTCTTGTTACTTACATAAAAAAAATGTTTCATAAATTATAGAAAAGTAAGTATTTTGAATAACAATCATGTAATTATATAAACAGCTCATTGAAACGACAACGACAGTAGACACAACTGGATTATTGCAAGCTATAAAAACGCTATTTAATACTATTGTTAACTTCACGGCCTTGCTGTTACTAGGTTGTACAAAATACAATAGGAGATAAGGCTATACAATGTGCATTTTGAGGAAAAGTAATCCAGCCACTTTTTAAAAACCACGTTCATAAAATTGAAAAACTTTGAATAATAATATAACAGGACCAACAGAGAATTTTGTTATTATGATGAATTAAATAATGAAAGAAGACCAGCCCCCTTAATGTTCAATTTTAAGCAACCTATATCGCTATTCATTTGGCACTCCAAAGATATTTAACAAAATCAAAACTAAAACCGACTGCTATAAACATCTTTCAAATGACGATGTGGTTGTGGTTTGAAGATATATTTCAAATAATAAATAGAAATTTAAAATGCTAACGGCAGGGCCAGAATAAGCACATTCAAAGTATACCGATCAAAAAAGTTTAAGCAACATCTACGATTTTAAACTACTGATCGATTTTTACTTTTGTAATAAATTTAAACTATTCTATTATAAACACAATCGAAAACTTTATATTTTTAAAAGTAGCCAATTATCTAAGAACAATAAAATTTAGAACAATCTATTTGCTAAGAAAAAAATAATAATATCGACAATTAACAAAACATGGTTCAGTTTCTGTAAATGATGCGTGTTGCTTAAACCTTTTTGATGTGTGTGTATCTAGAGATAAGAGTTTCAGAGCTAGGCGGTGGAGTAAAATCAAATGGTTTATTCCTTTTGTAGTAGGTTTTATTTCTTTTTTTACTAATATAAGGTGAGGTTTCAAATGTTACACATCATACGCGACTTCTGTAAGGTTCGCTCGTTTTTTTGTGCTAAAGTATTAGAACTCAACAGCAAGAATCGCCTAAAACAAATCGACTGTACAAAGTATTCGGGGAATGAGATTAGACCAGGCGGGTTGCTTATGTATAATATAGACCCATAAAATTATGTATTGCTCGTTCGGTTTAATCGCTCGCGCTACCGCTTTCGTCGCCGGACCCGCCCGATGAAGCCGCTTCTGATGAGGAACTCTTCGCTTTTGACTTCTTAGTGTCTTTTTCTTTGCTCTGGAATGAAAAGAAAAACACTGTTTACTGGATCATGAATCATATAATTTGGAAGATTTAAAAATACTTACTTTATTATTTTTCTAAGTTTATTTTCATAGAAAAAAAGGAATGGTGCAAGTGGTTAGGTTAGGCTTTCAGCTGCGATCGTTGAAGTTAAGCAACTTTCACAGTTTTAAACTTCCATGGTCACTAACACTATAGTAATTTATATTATTAACGCGATTGCAACCATGTTCCCAAGGTACATGGTTACAATCCCGTTAATAACATTAATTACTATAATTTTATCAGTGGTCTTTCATTGGATGGATGACCAAAAATTTGAGTTCTTCCATGCTTTAGAAGGCAAGTTAAGCCGTTGGTCCCGGCTGCATCTGCAGTCGTTAGCACCCACCGATCCGCACTGGGCAAGAGTGGTGGGTCAAAGCGCAATCTCCCTATTCCATTCATAGGGAAGACCTGTACCCCAGCAATGGGGACGAAGCGATCGTGTAGTGAATAGTTCTTACATGTATTGCCTACACCATGGCTTTCCTTCTGAAGAGTTATCAAACTCATGCGAGTCTCGCTCAGTGCATTCTCTATGTCTCATCACCATCAGCTTATGGCGTCGTCCTAATTGGCAACGATTGTGCGATGGCGCGATGCGATCTCATCGTGCGATGAATATTCCCGAAAAGCGGGATTGATCCTCTTCCGCGCGGGACATTAAATTTTAATATAAAAATCGGACCCTCCTGCCAAAATCGGGACGTCTGGCAAGGGGCCGTTCAAGTATTACGTAAGCAGATTTATTACAATTATTTACCCCCTCCTTCCCCTTGTCAGCAAAAGTAAGAAAAGCTCTTACCCCTCCCCCACATCCTTACGTAAACATTGGTACTGTAATGTTAAATTCCCCTCCACAGCCCTCTTCTCGCTCACTCCGAGCACCGGGGGAACAATAAAAGAAAACCAAAAAATTAAGATAATGTTATAAGTATATTTTATCCACTTTAGATACCAAAGCATAGGAATTCAGTAGTTTTAAGTTATTGCTTATATAAATCAACAAGTCTAACTATGTTTATTATTTATATAATAACTATGTTTCACTAATTATAAATATCTAAGCTGAATACAGTAGTTCAAAGTTAATGTGTATATAAACCAACAAGTTGTCATGAAAGGTTATAATTATATGAATATCAGACATTCATAACACTTTACCATGTACTTACAATATAATACTTACTAATATATTTTATCCACAAATACCACATAGACTAGACTGAATAAGCTATTTAGTGGATTTCAGAGGTTCTACGGCTCGTTTGATCGATATTGGTGACAAACTTAGTTAATTCTAGTTCTCAGTGAGATAACCAGTTATATAGATATATGGAAATGGGTAAGTCGGGGTCCAACCTCGCCTGGTGGTTCCTTTCCACGTTCACCCGGGGTTAGTAGAGAAATACCTTGATTATGATAGGTTTAGCTGTGTATAATCTGTCTGCTGTTACGGCCGGGTTACATAAAACCGGAGAGCGGCTGGCAAATAAACTCCCGCGTCCCTTCTGGTCCGTGTACAGAAAAAAGTCTCCTTGTTAGTCCTCCAGTATTTCTTGAGGGGAACGTACAAGCCTGAAGTTCACATTGAAAAAAATGATCAGATATGGGGAAAATACATAGATTACCACATCTGTAGTGGGTGAGGGAGTGAGGGATATTCACGGTCAATGTTTACACTTTAAAATTTGAATCACTACAGGACTGGGGCCCGTCCCACCCGGTTTGAAGAAAATCAATTCCACGTTCACTAACTTGACAAGAATGATTAGGTATATTTGCTGGCAAGAATCACTATATTGTGCATAATGCAGTTCAATTAGTGCTAGGAGAATAAATATGAGGTCAGATGATAGCTTACCGTTCGAAATATGAAACTATCCGTAAGTATTTTGTTTCCTATCACAAGTTACCGCCTTATTATTGCAATCGCCTTGCGAAGGTTCGTGTTCGTCCACCTACGATACAGAATATCAACAGAAAGGTTATTTTTCACAGCCCAAACTTGCAAATTATGTAGGAAAAAGAGTTACTCCAATATACCTACGAAACTCAGTTCGGTTAGCGACTCCGCGCTTTTTCCCCCAATATCCTTCGGGATATAAACTTTTCGGATCTATCTCACGACTCCGACGACAATAATATGCCTTTTCTTATACTTTGGGCAGAAGAAAAGATGAAAAGTTAACTGTACCACAAACAGATTGTGAAATTTTAAAAGTTGTTTTGACAATTGCTCATAGATGATAGACGGGTCGTCCACTCCCAAACATGTGTCTATGATTTGTTTCCCACTTCAACTGAAGGCAAAGGCCACAGTCAAACAGACAGCCGCCGCATTCGAGACGAACCGAAGAATAAACTCAAAACTATATACCTACGCTCGCCGTAAGCTGAGGAAAAGGGAATACCTACCCAAATCAGCGAGGAAATTCAATTTCGAGTAAAATTCAAAATCGATTAAAAACAGCACCCGATAAGGAGGACTCAAATCGATCTGGGAAAGACTATTCAAAATTCAACAACTGTCAAACTCCATCCATTCATCCACGCGCCCCCACAGAGATTCCCCGCCTGATTACTTTTTTTTTTTTTTTTTTTTATAAGTCTCAAGGCGAATATTTTAGTCGAATAGGAAAATCGACTCTTCCCTCAAGGCTACCAACCCAATCAATGAAGTTTGACAGCTACGCTGACGTAAGCGGTTCGCTTATCATAGACAAAACAGCTGTCCTACGTGTGTCAGTGTCACGCTCTGTTTAAAAACAAACACTACAGTACCTATATGCATTTTTCCTTTAATGTATTCTGTTTTTTTTATTGATTCATGAGCTTTCATGAGCTTCATGACCAGCAGTACTTAAAAAGGCTTAATCGATGATGCTGACGTAATCACCATCTCTACCGCCCACCCCCCCAAGTCATCAAAAATAAGCAAAGCAGAGACCCCCTGCCCCCCTATAGTGCTTACGTAATACTTAACAGCCCCCAACGCTGCTAAATACTGACCTCTGTTTTAGGTTTATCGTCGTCAGTGGAAGAGTCGTCGTCCTCCACGTATTCCTTGCTGGTAAACTTGCCGGAACCCGCGCCCGCGCCAGCTGCTGCGGTCGAAGCCTTACTCTTCTTACTGACTGGCGCTTTGGGCTTCTTCTCGGCAGCCTGCGTAATTATAACCATACATATAATAAAATGGTAGGAAAGTCAAAACTGTACATTGAAATTTTTTTTTTAAAGAATACTTGGGATGTGATCTACAAACGATACCGAAGCCAAAAATACAGTTTTTAGAATTTTTGTCTGTTTGTCTGTAAGTATGTCCGGGATAAACTCAAAAAGTACTGCATGGATTTACTTCATATTAGGCACGAATATTATAAGTCGGGTCACCAGATAGGCTACATATTATCACGCTATCACCTACGAGTAACGAGCAGTAACCCTTTATTTCTTCAACACATTCTGTAACAACGAATAACTAACTCCACGAAGTCGCGCGCGGCCGCTAGTTATAACCATAAAACAGTTTCATGGTAAATATCATAAAAAGACATGTTTACGTTACATTTACATATTATATCGCATCGTCAAAGTTTCTATGAGAACTAGGAGCGCCCCTATCGGAGGTAAGAACAAACTAGCTTTTAACATACAAAATTTGACGATGACGATGCGACATGGAGCTGTCAAAATTCGTGCTTGGGACCTTGATCTTGGTTATCAGATATAAGTTTTTATTTTGGATATCTGATAGTTTAGTTTACGTAGCACTTGGCCAGTGACTCTACTCATTTCATTTTCGATCAGGCACATAAAGTTCGGAATCACAAACAATTTTCGGGAACGAATGGAAAGAGTATGTTTGTGAGTTCTTATTATCTCCACTTTTTAAATTACGTTTTTTACTTGGAAACAATATTACTTTACGATAAATTTTTTGATGACATTGAAAGAACCTTCTTCGGCAGTGTTAGCCGACTAATTTTTAGAGTTGATACAATCGATTGAATGTCAACCTAAAGTCGTTTAATAGTTTTACAATAAATAATAAAGACTTGGTTTATTCGTTGCTTTTATGTGCTAAAAAAATGTTTCTCACGCTAAGCCGCTTTGATTAAAAATAATCTAGCAGTCATTTTAGGATTAATTAAAACAAAAATACCAAAACGAAAATGAAAAGCTAATACTTCTCATTTCGTCAATTTGAGGTTAAAATTTCGATCTGTCGAATTCAACTTTTCGTTCGAAAGCGTTGTGATTTAGAATAAGCTGGGAGAATTTTATTATCAAACTATTTTCGGACAAACAAATTTTTGAAATGAAAGAGAAATTTCGATCGATATTTTTCTTTTTTTGTTGAAATTGAGTAGGCCCTTTGGTTCTGTGCTTCGTCTCGGCTTTAATTTTATCGGGCAGGGCTAAATCTGTCGAGTCCAACAGTAAATAAATAAATAAACACCCACCTTCCGTTCCTTGTCGGCCTGCTTCTTCTTCTGCTTGAACTCGTCGGCGGCGCCGCTATCTTTGTACTTCTTCATGGCCTCCGCGTATTCCTCCTTCGCTTTGCTCGCCTTCTCCTCCCATTCCTATAATAAATAAAATTTTTCAACACTCACACCAATTAACCTAGCCCCAAAGTAAGCACTGTAAGGCTTATGTTATGGGATACTAGGGTAACGGATAGAATACATATACTGTACATTTAAACGTATATTTATATAGAAATACATATGTAACATCCATGAATGGAGTACAAACGCTCGTATTCATCACACAAACATCTGCCCCCACCGGGATAGGGTATTTAACAAGTTTTAGAAAACGATCTCACGTTATTGACTAATGTTTATGGAGTCCGTAAAAAGTTGATATTCATCATTCTGTTGTGTATTTCAGTAAAAATAACCAAATCAAAAACTCTATTTTCAATTTGCCGCGAAAACGTTTTTCTGGACAATATGGCGTCTTACTAGTGTGTGACGTCACACGACTGTTATCAAAATGTCAAAAGATACATGTAATGTCACTTTAACCGGAAGTTTACTTGCGTGTGACGTCATTTTAGGCTCCGCCAATCCGAAGCATTTTAGGTCACGTGACAATAGATAAAAAAACTATTATCTTTTTCGTGGATTTTTAGTAAAATTACGAATATTTTTTTTTGTAAAAATTGTAAACACCCCTGCCAATATTCATTCTAAACACAGATGCTAACAATTGGCACTTTATTTTTAATATTGTCAAATACCCTATTCGGACCCGGGTCCTCTCGAATCGGCGACAACATGAAACCCGGGGTACAAACCACTTGGCCACGGAGGTCGTCAACATAAAACGTATAAAAAGAGTATATGTAGAGAAACAACGAAATTGTAAATTTATTACAATAGCCGTTTTTCGCGTTGCTAGATCGTAACATTGTGTGTTATGTACACGCTATAATAAGTTGGTAAATGATTTTAAAACATTGCGTTATTACAAAACACTAAACAATGATGAGAAAAATAAATGGTATCTTAACCAGAATCAGTAACACTGTACCTTCCGTTTTTTTCCTTTTTTTTAATATGTAAAATAAAGGGTACGTCCCTTGTGGCGCTGCTGTTCAAGTTTCCATACAAAATTTGGCAATGACATTTCGTACTCGCAAACGTTACGAATTTGACTTTTCGAATAAGAACTAAAAATCACATTTGACGTATAAAATAGATTGAATTCAATTTTTCGAATGCGATAATCATTCGTTGTAAGGGTACTGAGAACAAAATGGAAAGAAGCCAGGTGGACAGCTACCGCCGCTGCAAAGTACTACGAAAATTTACTGCTGTATGTCTTTAGATTTTACATATTAACGAGAACTAAAAGTCAGTACACATTTGAAGCATATCTAGAACGAATTCAACTATTCGGTTCGTGCTAAGGGTACAGTACCCCTAGCACGAACCGAAATCGAATTCGTATCGTTTGCGAGTCCGAAATGTCATTGTCAAATGTGTACTGATTTTTAGTTCTCGTTACGTACTTTGTGCCGCTGCTGTTTAAGTTTCCATACTAAATTTGACATTCACATTTCGGTTTGCAAACTATTCGAATTCGATAATGGTTCGTGCTAGGGGTACTGAACTCTGTTGCGCAACGTAGCGTTCTATACTAATAGCTAATTTTATATTGCTGTAGATAAATATAAAGTGATATTTTTTTAATATTAGCAGCGATTATAGTATTCTGAGGGAACAAATAATTAACAACTTTTCTAATAAATCATTAAACTATTTTTTTTTGTGTTTTAATAATAATAATTGGGCGTTAGGTTGTATAAAAAATGCATGTTGTGATTGCAACTAGTAGGTTTCACAGTAGTTGATCTTTTCTTTGTATGCTTATATTAATATGCTTTGTAACCAGTTTTTTGAACTAAATATTAACAATTTATACGTACTTTCTTGTCGTTCATATCGCGCCATAATTCGCCAGCCTTTTTGGCGATTTCAGTGACCTTGATGCCAGGGTTCTCGTCAACTATTTTCTTGCGGTTTTCGTTCAACCATAACATGAATGCGGTCGCCGGCCGTTTGGGGGCGTTCGCGTCCTTTTCACGTTTTTTAGTCTTCTCTTTGCGTTTGCGTGGCGCTTCAGCCTGTAATAAATAATAACAATAAAGTAAGACATTTTGCCAACTATCAATTATTGAAGATAATTACATAGCTTGTACTACATGAGTTATCTCATATTGAAGTCATTTTTCCATTTGACGACTCTGTATATAATACAGGGAGAAAAATACAGCCCTTGCTGAGTTTCTTGCTGGTTCTTCTCAGTACTCTAGTACTCAGTATTCAGTAGATTTGCGAACTAATGCCGTAGCTTTTCGGCAATCACAAGTGCTTGTTACTGAATGAACGATATTGAATTGAATTACATAGACTGAATGAACGATATTGAATTGAATTACATATAAACAAAAACTGAAATGGAATGATAATGGATTTGAAATAGATAATAAAGCAGTAAATCTCCATAGATTTATCTCTATTTCTCTATAGAAAGGAAACTTTAGAATCGTACTTTCCTCTGTATTTTGGTAAGTTAGAGGTTATGTTATTACAATATTAACTTAATTTATTCCCAAACAAATAAAAGTAAATGTAGGTTTTATCGTGAGTTTATTTTAACTTGAAATAAACGCCATTTTATCTTAAGCCGGTTTTATTGAAGAAATTATATTTATTTTTCTAGATTTTGTATTTGTTTCTCACAAACTCACAATAGAACTTATTTTTATATATACTTATTAAAATAATTTTAATTAAATAAGTATCATTTAGTTGTAGTAAATTACACTTACGATAGTTATAGTCTTCTTTGGCTTTTTCTCTTTCTTCTTCTCCTTTTTGCTGTCGTTTGACGCGCCAGAGGCATCAGAGTCTTCCGATGATGACGGATTTGTGTCATACCTGAAGTCAGAATGTCACTGTAATCAGCCGATGTTTATTATCGTTAACTTAACATTATCTATACATATTATAATAAAATGGTAGGAAAGTCAAGACTATACATTAAATATTTTTTAAAAAAAATACTTGGGATGTGATCTACTGTCGTAACCGAAACCAAAAATATAGTTTTTAGAATTTTTGTCTGTATGTATGTCCGGGATAACTTCATAAAGTACTGCATGGATTTACTTCAAATTTGGCACGAATACTATTAAGAAGTCACGTCATCATATAGGCTACATATTATCACGCTATCACCTACGGGGAACGAGCAGTGAATCAGACGGGACTCGAACCCGCACCCTCTGCTATCTGGGCGGATACACTGACCATTATGCTACCGCGGCCCTAATTGTCCTTGTCGAATTTCTTAAGCATTTCTTAGGCTTCAAGGCAGCGCTTGGTCCGCGTGAAATTTCTTCTAGTAATTTTTTCTTTAGATTTATACATCTACTCCCTTATTAATAAACTAGGACTAAGCTTAGACTAGTTACACCGTGTTTTGTTCCTATCACTCAAACGCCATTTGTAATTCAACAAACAGAGACAAAACATGGGAGTAACTAATCCCTTATTCTTGTCACACGTGTCGAATACAGTAACGGGAGCAAAATATTATTTGTTTAATTTCTGTTAGGTAACACGACTTTTGTTTTATACTATAAAATATATGTAATTATATTTAATTGAAATATAATATAAAATGTTTACATTTACGGCAAAAATACGTTGCGTGGCAAGCAACCGCGGATTAGTCGGTTCGTTGCCACAAGATAAGAATTTAGAAAATAAATTAATGTTCTTATTTTCATGCATTATGAATATAATTTGTGTGCAAATAAAAAAAAACCTAATTATCAATAAAACTGGTTTTATTCCCTAGTCCCTACAAAAAGTGTACACCCTACAAACTGTAGACTGAGATTAATAATATAGATCTGATATAGATCTGAGATTAATAAGGGGGCTAGAGGTTAAAGGCTTAAAAATATGCTTTCCTTGGCCTCCTCTTCACTTTACCAGTATACTAAATCCTCTATGCGTTTCTACTGTTCTATACTCACTCTCCAACAACGTCGCTCTCCTTGGCCTTGTCTGGGTAGAAGTCTTCTTCATCCTTATTCTCGTCAGACCCGTCGCTGTCGTCAGAGTCGCGTTCCTTGGCCTCCTCTACACTATACCAGTATACTATATCCTCTATGCGTATATACTGTTCTATACTCACTCCTCAGCGACGTCGCTCTCCTTGGCCTTGTCCGGGTTGAAGTCCTCGTCGGTACTCTCGTCAGAACCGTCGCTGTCGTCAGATTCGCGCTCCTTGGCTTCGGCCTTAACTCTAGCTAGATACGCGTCCGGTTCCTTCTCCGTATCAGAGTCCCCGAAGTCATCGTCGTATAGGGCTTTGTCCTGTAGGATATTTAGGATTTTTATTGTTTTAATTAAAAAAATCATTATTCAAGTTATCCAAAAATGTTTAGTCTTCCCTAAAAACTATGCTAAACTGTGCTATTTGCTTCAACCAGCATAATAGCTTGGTTTTGACTATGTGGTATTTTATTCCTAGGAAAGGTTTATTTTATAAGTGTGGTAAAGGTAGGTTTTTCTGCTCAAGGCGGAGAAGTGTCAACTAGGTGACCAAATCCAAAGTGTATCTAGCAATTATCTAAGTATCATCATCAACAATATGTATTTATATATGTATGAGTGTATGTATTCTATCTGTTACCTATAACACAAGCCTACAATGCTTACTTTGGGCCTAGGCTTATTTGAGTGTGTTGAAAATATTTATTTATTATCAGGTAAGGTGGAGTCATTTGTCAGTCTTTTTATAAAAAAACCGGAGAAGTACAAGTCAGGCTTGCCCACCGCAACATTCCGTAAAAAAATTGTAGACACGCAACATACTCGTATAATGTATCTTTTTTAATGTTAACTTGGCAGTTTTGTTTTTTTTTACAGCTTTATGGAACCGCAGACTTGAGTATAATTGGTTTGAATTTCAACTCGATACCTCCAAGCGCTCCCGAGATAAAGGGTCTTGACCGAAAGACAGACGGACAACAAAGTGATCTTATAAGGGTTCCGTTTTTTTCTTTTGACGTACGGAACCCTAAACAATGTATGATGCGACAGAATGGAATAGTATGACAGAAAAAATGTACTTAAATAAAAATTAAATTCATGATACAACAATAGCAATTATTTCTTACATTCTTGCCAGTATTTTTGACGTGTAGCTTTTTGGAAGTGATGTAATCGAACAGCTTGTCGTATTCGCCTTTCTCGATGCTGCTGAACGTGTGTATGCTACCAGACTTAAGTTCTATCTCGAAATCAAACGATCTGGAAAAAGTTTCATTTAAAATTACATAAAAATCCCCCCCAAGCAGGTAATGAAACAAACCGCAATTATTTTCATGTTGAACTTATATAAAACATTTAAAAAACAAATTAAAAATTTTATCATACAAAAAATATTTCGAAATAGACAACTAGAATAGTGGCTTTAATTTGCTTGTTCAACAACTTTAGATCAACATTAACTGTAAACAATATTGATAAAAATATTAAACACATTTTTTAGAACAAGAACAAGGACAATTATTAAGCACAGAAGTTACTTTATGCTTGCACTTGATGATTGTTACACACACTTCTGTGCGTAACAGTAAAACTAGTGCTGGTAAACTCGCGCGTTATATTAATCAGTAGTTTCCATTATAACTAGAAAAAATCCACGCGGACCAGGCAGCAGACGGGACTCGAACCCGCACCCTTCGCTGTCCGGGCGAATGCATTGACCAATTATGCTACCGCGTCGAAATTTCTCTAGCCATTCTTAAGCTGCAAGGCAGCGCCATTTATTCGCATTGTAGGTAACCCACAATGTCAAATGAATACTTTTACAAGCATTAAACATTTGAAAGAAGAAATAGCAATTTATAGTCATAATTGATTTAAACATCAAGCAGTTACATGCTTAAAAAAATAAAATTATGAGTTTCCATTATGTTTTACAAAATACATAAAACAAAATCAATGGAAATTTACTAACAGGATTAGTTTTAAGTATATAATGTACTTTTACCAAGTGCACTGTAATAACCTGGACTTTTTGCACATATGTACATGATTTGAGGAGTTCCTTTGTATAAAGGATAGGAAGAGATAGATTTTTTTATGCGAATAGGATGTTCCTATTCTAAATTCTAAAAATAAATTGCAATAATAAAGACGAAGATAGTACATATATAATTAGAGTAACATCAACCATATTTGATTTTATCACACTAATATTGTAAAGGCGAAAGTTTGTGTGAGTGTGTATGTTTGTTACTTCTTCACATCTAAACGGCTGAAGCGATATTAATAAAATTTGGTATCGAGTCAGCTGACACCCTGGATAAACACGTTTTACTGCAGGAAAATATCCCTAATAAACCGCGGGAAACACCGCGGGGCACAGCTGGTAAATTATTAATGTCATTTTTAGCTAAAACTGTATAATTATGTTCAAATTTTGTTAAAAATTACATTTATAAATAATTTAAATAATGTGTTGACATTTTTAGCTCAATTTGGAGCGCCTGTATGGGGAAGTAGCCTCTACTGGACAGTGAAATATCACTACCTTTTCGTGATAGTGGTGCAGTGGGTAAGGTTCAGTGTTTCTTGGATGGCACTGAAAATATTTTTGGTAGCGTCTATAGTCTATGGCGCCCGCTCACCATCAAGCAAGCCATATGCTTGATTTTCACAATTAAGAGCGGACGCGAGCTGAGAGACATTTGAGAATTAGGTATATGAATAAATAGAAAAAAACAATTGCGTTTGCGCATTGGCAAATACCATGCGGTAGGGACAACAGTAGCTAAGGCTAAATATTGCGTATAAAAATTGCAAAATTCGAGGGTTGGGTCTCGGCGATTTCCTTCTCGAAAATTAGATATATGTAAAAAAAAATTTACCTATAAAATAATAAGTACATAGTTATACTAAGCCTGTATGTTATGATTTTTTGTAAATTTTTATTGAATCACCACACTAGATCTTTTTAGTGGTGATAAAGAAAATCTATTATTGGCATTTTTTAAGGTCTCTAGTTTCCTTGAACAACAAGTTCCACCAAAAAAAGGAAGACATTGGAGCATAGAATGAATAAAATTATATTTTATGAATGAAAATCATTTCTTTAGTGATAAAATTCAAGGAGGAATCAGTCGAGAATGTTTGTATGGGAATAACATTGCTCACCTCCCCTTATAAAATCTTACCCTATTTTAATTATTTAATTTTTTAAATAGTTAAAAGACTGTCATTTTTATATTAAATGCTGCGTACACTCGTTAGTGGCAAGCATTAAATAATTGTTTATATGTTATTAATAATTTTGTAATGTATGATATGTATTGCTGTATGTGTACCTAATAAAAAAAAATACATATATATATACGTAGTACAACTCACTTGGTAGATGAGGCGCCACCTCTTGCAAAGTTGACAGAAGCGATTTCTTCAAAGCGGATGTGTACAGGCGGTTTGTGTACGTATATGAACCCCTTCTCCAACGGGTACAGGTAGCCAGCGGCCGCCTTGTACGAGCAAGCGATCGCTGGCGTTTTGTGATGCCTGTGAGAAAAATTAATCTGTTTATAATTTTTTTTTTAAGCATAACTGCTCGATGTTAAAATCTAAAGAAAATATTACTAGAAAAAAGTCCACGCAGACCAGGCAGCAGACGAGATGGAAATAATTATTTCTTACACTCGCACAAAATTATCAAACACACAAAATAAAGTTACTTTAAAGCATTTGATATTTGACCTAAATGTGTAAAAAAAACCAAAATTATTATGTACTATTTTTTATTTATTAATCACATAAATATCAGCCCTAACAAATTTATATGTGGGGAGGAAAATAAATATTTGTTACACACACACACACCAAGTAGCCTAACCCCAAACTAAGCAGAAACAAATAATAATGGTACATAGATAAGAATATGTTTGTATAAATTAGAAATATACTATACACAGAAAAGAGCCAGGTACAAATGCACATATTCATTATAAAAACATTTGCCTCTGGCCTCTGGGGAAACTGGGATTCAAAGCCACAAATGTTTTATATGACGATATATCGTATTTCTGACTGTTTTAACTTATTAGTTACTTATTTAGCAGTTCAGTAATATATAAGTAAAGCTGAACTAGAAACTTACTAGCCTAATGATAATTAAAATTAATATTGTTGGGGATGTTTACATTGGTTATTAACATAAAAATAAAGTGACTGGTATAATGAGTTCAAGAGATATTACTATACCAATCATTCATAAGGATACATACCCTAAGAAATCCCCAGGTCCTGTAACCCTTCTGTTGATAATAACCTTCATGATCTTGGCAAGCACTTCATAAGTAGGTCCTGATAATTCCTTTGTTATTTTGCCCTCATACTTTTCTTTGAGTTCCTCCCTAAAATAAAAAATAATGACAACATTTTGTTATCAAACTCAATAATTTAGTAAATGCCAATGTGCATAGTTCTTCTTCATTTGGGCAATTTGATAAGAGTCGGCCAATTTCATTGGCAATTAAATCTAAATGAAAACAATATACCATGAAAATAAGACTACAGTAACATTAAAATAAGTAGAAATTTCTTACTCTGTAAATGGCAACTCTAGGCTTGTTTCCTCTTCGATTCCAAACAGTAATACTAAATAATGGTATCTTGTTTGACCTTGCTTGATGGGAGGGTCCAGTGACACCACGAAGAACATTTGTCTGGTGTCTTTATGTGGTAACAAAAACAGCCTCAGTACTGTTGACATGGGGATTTTATAATCAAATGTTTTACCATGAAGTTGGAAGAATGTTTGAAACACCTTGATGTCATAGCGACCACTGAAATACAAATAGTAATATAAGATGCACATAATTATTATAAATAAATACCTAGTTACATAGTAGATATTTATAAGCATTTTATTTTATACATGCTTCACAAGTAATACAATTTATTACTTAAGTATTTTATGAAAAATGTAATTTTGCATATTGGATTCTCAAGATAAAAATTATGGCGCAAAATCAAGTAAACAGTAAAACTCTCAATGTTGTATGTAAGATGAAAATGTTCTCACCGAGGTGTGAGACACTGGAGTTCTCTAAAGATTGCAATGGCATCTCCAGAGACGGATATAACACTGGCTTTGTTCATAACTTGCTGGTGGAACGCCTCCACAGCATCCATATCTCCAGCCAATTCACTAGTTGGGATGTGGAATCTCATCTCCATCAGCGACACTGGTGTGTCATCATTCTGCAAATAGTTTTTCATCATCATCATCAGCCTATTAATGTCCCCACTACATGGGGGCAGGCCTTCCCTATGGTTGCAATAAAGAGATTGGGCCATGAACTATCATGCAAGCCCAGTGCCTTTTGATTGGTGGGTTCTAATCACTGCAGATGCAGCTGGGACCAACGGCTTAACATGCCTTTCAAAACATAGAGCACAGAGCTTGTGAATAATTGTTTATTTCTAATTACAGTAAAAAGATAAGGAAATAAACTAACAGATTAAATGTCTGAAATAAAATAATTTATTTGCATTAGTAGTAAGCTGTTATTTTTTGCTGTCTTTAAAAATTTAATAAGAATTTTACATATTTTGCCTATTAACACCTAAACCTGAGCTGTTTGGGTCTATGTCTTTGGCAGATTGTGTGTAGCCATCAATTTACTATGTTTCATACAAAAAACTGGGCCTGATACTGGCATTTTTGGCAAATGTATCTGTGCCATGCTCTACACAAAATGAAACAAAACAGATCAAGTTGATGCTGACCACTTTTTTTGCAACAACAATGAACCAACACTTGACTTGAAAAAACAATCACAGTCACATTAGCTATTATTTTATAGTGAATATATAATTTTATCAGAAGTATTTAATTAATTTCATGTTTCTGAGTATGGCTGTTAAAGCTGTCAAATCTAAAGCAAACAAAGGTTGTATTCAATCATTTTGTTGTGTTGTTGTCCAGACTAAAATGACAAATACACCTGGAATCTGCATGGTCACATATTAATGTTGTTGCTCACCTGGTGAAACTCAAGAGTTACTTCATTTTTGCCTGTGTTACATTGTGATACATAGTGTAATGGTATTTCAAAGGCTGTGTTTGACCCAACATTGAAGCTAAGTACAGCACCATTAAACTTTGCAGTACCCCAGTTCCAACCTTTGAGAGACAATTCCTTTTCTAGCATATCTTTGTGGTAGTTGCTTTTGAAGAATTTTGCAACTTTTTCTTGTTCCTGCAAAATTTTAACAGAATTATTAATATATACTTATATTAAAGAATATGTATTTTACAGAAAGACATACCCCTTCCTTGAATCCACCGTATCTGTGTAAAGTGCCATTCTTCATAAAAATTCTAAGGCCCCAAGAACCAATGAATTTCTGAAAGTTAACAAGCTCAATATCGTTTGCAGAAATCTGTTCTACTTTGCCGGTTTTACTATTCTTAAAAACAATATTTTGGTCCGTCATCTTCAATCTGCCTGGAACCTGTAAATTAACAGCAGAATAGAAATAGTTGTGGTCTAACATTATAAGTACAAAATTTTATATAAGAAAATATACCATTGTTCCTTTGATTTCAGCCGTAACATCATTATATTCGAGGAATTCCATTGTTACGATTGAACACCTTTATGTATTAAAATAAATAAATAAATACAGAATCGGCAATTTCCACGCGGACTTTTTAATCACACAATCGAACCAAACGAAAACTCCAAAACTCGAAAACCACTCCGCTCCGCTTAAGGAGGAGTGGTTGCCCGATCAAACCGATTTTACTAGTCGTTATCAAGCAATTTATAAACCGATTCAATAGTAGATTCAACCGTATGAGCAATGCACCAAAAGAATTCAGAGATGAAACACCATAGAATTTTAGATTCCACGTGCTATGCTCACGTTCCTAAAGCTTATCGCAAGAAGCTCAACACAAAAAGGCACAAACGGGAATCCTCATTATTGGATATGAAGGCTATAGAACTATAGAATCTGGAACAAGCATAGACTAATTCACTGAACAAGTAATAAAATTAGGTCTAGACTAGAGTTGTGACATTTCAAGGGATTCCATTCCTAGGGAAATCTAAAGTGGTTAAAGAGAAGTCTTTACCCCAGCATTTGCTCATAATTTTCCTACTATCAAGTGTGAACATGAGACGAATGGCAATAGATAGTTAAAACTTTCAGGTTGCGCCCGGAAATAATTCCAAATTTGATTTCTAAAAGAGATCAGAGTGTGAGCCTTTCGAATGTTTTCTGGTAATGAGTTATAGAAGCACAGAATGCACAGAGAAGGAATAGGAAAAAAAATCGGTTGTGTGATGTGGAATTGTAAGGGGTAAGGTTAGAAGCGCAGAGTGCGTTGTGAAGTAGATGGAAGAAACGAGAAGCATTCTTTTAAGTAATATGGAGAAGTAGGTAGGAAAAGAATGGAATAAAGTAGTGTAAGGGTGTGTAAGTCCCTGCGCCCTCGAATAGGAAGCCAATTAAGTTTAGAACGGAAGTGTGAGACATGGTCGTACATACGGAGCAAAAATTATCTTCCCAACAGCTTCAACCTGAGTCCTCCGAAAGAAACTCTGATCAAAGACAATTATCACAGCTTGCGTCTTTATGGGGTGTGAGTCACAGTAAGATAATGACGTACTCAAGGAACAAATTAAAGCCAGGCCAGCCAGAAGTTAGTAATCGCTATTGCGTCTGTGAGGTTTTTATTTATTATGAAGCAAGTCATTGTACTTATTAACATTTGGTGATTTAATAGACGTTAAAAGCTGCCACACACTAAAAACCTGACGTTAATTGTGATAAGGTGGCCAGCATCTTTACATAAATATTTAATGTTTATACACGATTTAAAATTAATCATAAATAAATAAATACAAGTATCTATTTATAGCTGAAAATTGTATTATAGTAGAGTTTTATCTAAAATTTAATAAAACATAAAAGTTACTATAATCTCTAGTATGGAAGTACAGTCATTGGCACCTATGATAATCACTGAATACACCCTCGGTGTGTGTAGCTTTGAAATATGAAGGTAGGTTGTACTAATTTTATGATTATTGCATTAATGACTTAAGAATGGATAAATATTGTATCATTGAATTTCATTAATATTATTCGTAATTTATTGTTCTTTATAATTAAATTATTTAATTTTATAATCCAATGATAAAATGCAATTTAATAATCATTTTTTATTATGTTATTTAAATTTTTTATTTTCTCGTTAAATAAATTGTTGTTGCTCTGACTAAGCCATGCGGAGCTAACCTGTAAGTGTTTGTTGCAGTCATTTCCATGAACAGAATGTAATTTAGGCTAAGTTTTACTGTAAACAGACGTTGGTTAGTCCAATAAATAAATGGGGTTGACTATGCTGTAACTAAGCTGTAATGGCACCCAGTGGGTTCGTGTAAATTATTATTTTCAAAAATGATTTAGACAAACCCATATGTGTTTGAATAAAAGGAAACAGTTAAAATTTGTGTCTGAGCCAAGTTACATGTGAAGAAAATCCATCATATTAATGTTTAAAATATAAATATAATGACGATGTAGATGCTAGCGTGATTCTAAACCTAAACCTAAAATTGACAGCATGTCATTCTTGTCATTCTCTATATAGAACTTAAAGGAGAGGCTGGCGTAAATTTCATTTTAAGTTTAGAGAATCGTGCCAGAGGTGCCAATTCTGGCGTGATTCTCTAAACTTAAGACCAAATTTAACATCAGTCTCTCCTTTTCAATCTGTATAGAGAATGACAAGGATATACTGCTGTCAAATTTAAGTTTAGGTTTATAGAATCATGCTAGAATCGACACCAGAATCAACATCAGTGACAAGTTAAACTTTAATCAAGGCCAACATCAAGGTCCTAAACAATATTTGTATGTTTTTATCTTTAAAATTAAAAAGTACTTGCTTCTTATTTTTTATGAAATTTGGAAAAGATTTTTTGTAATCAAATTTACTGATTCATTACTATGTATTTTTTTTTCCAAAAATATCGATTTATAGCAAAGGATTGGGCATCCTTAATTAAGTTCCTATGTCAAAGGAATGTGTCAATGTAATTAATTATGTCATTTTGACTTTTTTTTTTGTTGAAGTTCTCCCGTTTTAGCGAAGGCAAAGGGAACAATGCCCATACAGCCTAATCTTATTTTAAATTAATCTTCTTTTTGATTTTACATTAGAATGTCGGTGCGACGCATTCTAATGTTTCTTGGAGTGTTTGGCACGAAATGTATCGAGTTGGCCTTTTCGATAAGCTTCTGTGAGGTAGTCAACACTACAATAAAATTCTCACGTCCACTTGACCGGAATGGCGCATATTTTAACTATTCCACTAATTCTTCAGTTACGCAGACGGTTGTTACACAAAAACACACCAATTTTATTTCACAATATCCGCTATGAACAAATTTAAGAATAATTAAAATAAGACGCCAACCGCACTCGATGAAATCCCGCCAAAAACCATTTTGACTTTTATTATTTGTATACATTCTCAATTTTAGAAAGCAAAGGATATTACGTCCACGTTGCCTCTTCTTAAGGAATTTTATTTCATAACTTACATTAAAATATGACAAATTGTAATGAAAAATCAAAAAACATAGAACAAATGAAGTAATATATCTATAGGTATAATAACCTCCTAGCAAATAACTCAGTTCTTTATTGTTTACCTGACAGAAGCTTGTCGAGAAAGTTGACTCGATACATTTTCTGCCAAACACTCCAAGAAATATTAAAATGTGTCACATCCAAATTCTAACGTAAAAAAGAACATTGTTAATACTGAAAACTAGGGCTTTGTTCTTTGGCCTTCCTGACAAGGGAGAACGTTATGAAATATGTCAGTGTCAATGTCATTATTGACAGTTAAGCATGTTATTTCTGCGATAGGACGTGCGTGTGCTTGCTGTTGATGATATTTACTTTTTGATTTTTATATTTATTGAATTAGTGAATTTCACTGTAATTACCTGAATCATTTTTATTTAGCATTTACTGCAATTATAATAATAAATTTTGTGAAGTGTATACAGAGATAATATCGGTCGACCTTATATTGAATTTAAATCGTGGTTAGGGATCGTATTAGTAATTATTTCAAGTGGGTGTGTTTTGCATGTTTGAACCTTATGGCGTCGTTGTCATTGCCTCGAGTTCTTCAGCTTAAGAAGAACAGTCTCGACGCTGAACGTGAACAGTTCGAAAAGTTTCAGGTAGGTTGTGCAGGTATACACCCAAGGAAAAAGTAAGATGTACTATGGCTCATGTCATTGTAACTGTTAAGGACACCTAGCTAGGTACTTTTTATGCAATTACTCGACTGTGAAATATTATTTCTTAAATTTAAAGTTCGAAATATTTTAAGTATTACTTTGTAACTTTAATAAAAAAAATATCTTACTCTGACGCCACACAGGCTAGCCTCATCGTAAAGTACTCTTTCGCGTATATTATGGAAGTTAATTGGATAGAAATACATATTAATACATAGTTATGCATATTTCAGTAGAAATATATGTGAACAGCTATGCCTCAGGTACAAATCCTCATATTCATCATACAACTATTTGATCTGGAATCGCCCTCAGAGTAGGAGACACTTTGATATCCTGGGTACATACTGCCATTCAGATTGTCCAAATATAGAAATAATAAAAGCTGATAATAAGAATAAAATTTTATTGTTCACTATAGTAAAATATTTGTTTACTTTCAATGACCTCCAAAATATATAAAATCTTTACTAGATAAGAGATCTCAGTGATATTCAAATATCAAAACATACTTAATTCACCTACACTAAACTGATATACAATTAGTAAAGTTCTTGTTTGTTAATTTATTTTTAATTATCACAATCTGTATTATTGTAAAGAAATTATTACTAGAAAAAAATCCACTCAGTACACTGAGTTTGTCCTGTCTGAAAACTGAACTTAATGGATATTTTTTAGAAATGTTTGCTTTGGATTGTAAAATCTAGCATTAAAATGCTTAAACATAAAAATATAATAATTGGTATTATTATTGTGTCTATTGTATTCATTCAGAATATTTACACAAATATTAAAAATATATGTGTACATATATAGATATGGATAATAATAAAAAAATAGTCAAATAATTGAGTGTAAGGCCATTTTTTAATTTATAAAAAATAAAATATTCCAGGGGACAATCACAGCTGTGCAATTTATTTGTTCTTTAAAGCTTTTTACAAATATAGTACCTAATGATTTGAGTTGACTTAAAGAATTATTCAGTATAATGTATGTTCTAGATATAAATCTGATAACTGCTACCCTATGTTGTTTTAGTTTTTAGAAATCAGTTTTTTCCAGCTGTAATTAATTGCAAGCACCATGCAAACATGAGTATACAAGGCCCTGGAATATATTATATAAAGACATGTCAAAAAAATCCACTAATCTTAAATATATAAATTATGCATCAACATACAACCATTTCTTCATAAAAAAAATACAAATTATGAATATTCAATGAAATATTTACTAGAAAAGATTCAATTCAGCAAAGGTATCACACTGAATTCCATACAGCCAGTTCTATACATATTTTTTTAATTTGCTTTATAAATGTGCTGAAGGAACTGAAGATTTTTTATAATGTTTTTGAACTTTCAGTGGAATTTTTAGGAGGTCTTTGTGTTTTAAGACTTTTTTTATTACTTGTGAAATGAAATATGAAATGTTTCTTTAGTATGCAGGTACTCCTTAATTATGTAAAATTTATAATACATATTGAATTATAGTATATTTTATTTTAGGCATTTAACTGCTAGATTTATTAATCTCAACACTTTACATTATCTTTATAATGTGCTTGTTAAGGCCTACAATTTGATATCCTGATTCTAATATTTGAAGAAAGATATGAATTTCACTTTTCAAAGTGAAGTTTGAAAAATTTTCAAACATAAAATTACAGCATATGTCTTGCATCTTTTTGACTGTCTTGTAAAAATTAAAAAGTTATAGAATTTTTACTTTGTAATAAAAAAGAAATGGTATCACCATTTCTTTTTTATTACATTTAGAGGGGTATCCACTTTCCCTGAGGAAAGATCAGTCACTACGGTATGGCCAATTGACCACTCAGCTTCGTAAAGGCGGCATAGCGCACCATCTAGGGGATAACTTTATCAACCTATATTCAATTAATCTGTGGACTACGGGAAGGAAACATAAGAGAGGGGACGGAGACGTAAATGCGGGGATGGATAGATCTGAGCACAGTGACAATACGCGCGTTTTTGAGTGAGTACACTTACTGTACACTGTTAGTTGCAAATAACAGCGTCACCAGGCATGGTGTGACGAGATTTTTAGGAGACTATGATAGCGAGGATTTTAGGAGACTATGGTTTATTAGGAGGACAGATTAATTGAATATAGGTTGATAAAGTTATCCCCTAGATGGTGCGCTATGCCGCCTTTACGAAGCCGAGTGGTCAATTGGCCATACCGTAGTGACTGATCAACTCTGTGTTACGTGCTTGCATTGGCGAGGTGGTTGGGGATAGGCACGGTACGTTTCTGAGTGGAACTAAATATATCAACCCTAATTAATGCTTGGAATCTATATTTATGTCATACAACATGATGTCCGAGATATATATATATATATATTGTGCATATGAGAGCGACATGAACACGCCAGTGTATTTATGATATATATTGTCGGGAAAGTTTAGCTTCGGTGTAGCCGTCAGTATTTCAGCCCAAGCGAAATGACATCAGCCTACTGACACTGTCACTAGTTTTCAGCACCGCCAGTTGTCTTAGCCCAGTAGATAGATGGCAATCTTTATTCAGTAAAAAATTGCTTCTTTATAGAGTTGCTGTTTTTGGGTGGATCTGCCTGCTATCAGCTTGAAAGCTATTGACAGACGTGCCAGGAAACTCATAATACTATATCTCATAAAACACTTAAAACAAGACAGCTAGAAGCCTCGAACTTCGCCGTATGGTTGCGAGTCTAATCGTTTTATATTGGTTACATTCGGAAAAGTGTGCAAAAGAATTATTTAATCCAATTTCTGCTGCACCTTTTACTATTGGATGAAAAGACGATGACCGGCCGCATCTCACGTTTCGGATCCTCCTTTATTATTCGAAACGCTAGTTAATGGAATTCCCTTCCCTCTCGCCGATACATATAACATGGATTTTCAAGGCAGGAGCAGGTATATATACCTATAGGCATTATTTGAGTTCACGTGTTCCAGCTTAGACCAGATCGGTGCTGGTCAAACTCACTTAAATATTTTTTGAAGCAAATAGAATAGAAAAATGATTTTGATAAAGTATGTAGGTATTTGCAACATTCTTTATCAAAATATTTTTTCTAAATTTTAAATAAGAAAGCACGACATAAGATAGAGTCATTTTCACATTAATAATAGTATAGAATTATCATTATATTGGTTTTATAGGTTCTCCCATCCAATTCAGTCGTCCAATTTTCTTTTTTTCTGTAACATACTTCACACAATCGAGTCCAACATACATATTCCCACTCGACGGCCGGCCGGCATCGGCAGGGGAAACGACTCGTTACTGTTACGCCACAGTCCACAGTCATGGATGGTTGACGGACTCGTGTCGCAAACTATTGCGTTACTTACCTCATGCGTCATTAAGGCGCTTTGCAGACGGGCGGCGGGGCGGAGCGGGCCGGTCAATTTTGCCGCGAATGATAGCACAAAGTGAATCCTATACTACAAACGCACACAGAGGGCAAAAAGACCGCGCCTCAGGTGCCCGGCGGGCACTGGCGGCGCGGCATGTCCGCGGCTGCCCGCCGTGGATCATACAATCCATGCAGTAACGAAGACGGCGGCGCGGGGCGGCTAGCTCAGTCCGCGCCACGCGCTTTTTAGTGATGGACTATTCACTTGAACGAACGTTCTGAACTGACTGCCTCTGCCCGTCGTGTGCTTTGTGTACGCGGCGAGGGCAGCCGCAGACATCGACGGGCAGACGCGGTTTTTATTGCTTCGCGGACAAAATGCCCGCCCCGCCCCGTCGTCTGCAAAGCGCCTAAACAATCGCATGCCGCTAGCCTTCCTAGCAGCACCAGCTGAGCAAAGTATCATGAACTTGAATAATGAGGTCCCTAAAAGATTATCTTATCTATGTAAACCTATGTTAAAAGGCTGGCAAATAAGCCTGATTGTAATTGGCCGCCTTATCCTGTATAGACGATTGCGATATCAGACAATTCTCGCATTTCCTTTCCTGACTATCCCTTACCCTATGGTGTCCTAAAAATCCTACTCACCGACAGTTGTTACACCGAAAGGAACTAACTTCCTTATCCTTCATTACAGCTCTTAGCTGCTATCTTCTACTTGTATTAATTAAACAATACACCGCTCCTTCCCAAATATCACATTACAAATAGGGCAGACAAATTAAAATATTAGGATTGATCGTTTATAATCTTAGAGCATTTATACCTTATAATATGTATTGTCATGTAAACATGGGCGATTTTAGTTCTCTTTGCTACCCACTATTGTGATTCTGGTGCACAACCAACTAAAATTTTCAGTAGGTATCCAAATTTATTTACTTTCTGCTTTATCATTGGCCCGTCCGATAACGATAGTTATAAAGACTTGTCGTATTCGATAGCTTATCTATTATACTGTATTGTGAATAAACGTTCTGTGTATATATGTAGTGTTAGCGAAGTTTCCAATAATTTCGTAGTTGATATAAAAGAAAATTCTGGTCACAATTAGTTTCTCTTTTTGTTGTTGTGTCGTCGTTTCTGTCGTGTTGTTTCCTATAAAATTACGGTAAGTTGATTATCAATTACGATTACGGTAGTTTGGATGGAAATCAGAATTACAAGTATGACATAATTTGTCTTTGTGAAAAATCGCAATTTCCGAAACTATTGTTTTATTGATTAATCTGGATTTTTTAAGAATATCTGCAGGTTTTTACTTGAAAGAAATCTACTAGTGCTCTGCACCGTCCAGGTGTAAAAGTGTCTCATTGGAGATTATTGTAGTTATCTACAATGTGAAGAAATGGCGCTGACCGATAGCATGATGATGTGTCAAGGTCCCAAAAGACGAATTTAGTCTGGAATAAGCAAACAAGCGACATCGAAAGAACAGCTCTGAGGCGTTCCTTGCTACAAACTTTTGGTCTACTCTAGTCCATGAAATAAAGAATGT